ACGGCTCTGCATCTCGCATGGAATGTGAATGTTTTCAAAGTAGCATCTCTGCTGCCCTGCACAGCATGCCCGGCTTTGACCTTTATACTAGTGTGGGTGGGAGTTCGCAGTGTCCACCCCAGCTATAGGCCAGAAGAACAGGGTTATCAGCAAGGGGGTTTGGAGCTCCAAATACCCCACTGGGGACAGGATATCTGGCTCCTGACTCTGAAGCCCTAGTCGAGGTGTCCTTGCTAGTCTAAGTCTCAGCCCATTTCTTTATGGAGAACACTGAAACTGTCAGAATCCCTCCGATAGCCAGGCCTTTGAGAGCCATGAAATGAGACCCCAGGAGGGAATGGAGCCTGGGCTCTTAACCATGGCTCTAGATCAGGGGGTCTCAAACGTCACTGCACTGCGACCCCCTTCTGGCAACAAAAATTACCACATGACCCCAGGAGCAGGGACTGAGCCCGCCTGAGCCCCATCACCCCGAGTGTGTGTGTGTGGGGGGGAAGCTGAAGCTCAAGGGCTGCAGCCCCACGCAGGGACCTGTAACCTGAGCCCTGCCACCCAGGACTGAAGCCCTCAGGTTTCAGTTTCAGCCCCACTTTGGGGTCCCCACCCACAGTCTGAGAACCACTGCTCTAGGGTCACTTCCCTCCCAGCAGGTGCTGTGCTGCTTCACGGAGCAGCTGCCTCATGAGAGGCAGCTTGATTACCCAAGACCGAGAAGGGACTCCTGAATGCTAATCCCAGCCGTGACACTTCTTCCCTCTGTGGCCTTAGTCAAGTCACTTCCCCTCTCTGCCTTCGTTTTCCCACCTGTAAAATGGGGATAATATTTCCCTACAGCACAGGGTGCCCGTTGTAAAGGGGTGTGTGTGTGTGTAAAGTACTATACATAAGCACACCAAACTGTCTCGCCTTCCCCCGCCTGCTTATATGGAGAACAGGGCCTTGAAAAAACCTTGACTATATTAGTGGCTTTTCACAGACCTCAGGAGAAGCAGCTGGACGCTGCCTCACCCGCAGCAAGAGGCCAGTAATGGCCCAGCGATCACATCCTCCACCCCAGCTGCATGATACTGAAGATTAAAAGTGCCCCAAAGAGTCCTCCGGCAAACCCTGGCCCAGATCCCAAGGACCAGCCCTGTACACAGTGGTGTGATCATGGTGCACAAGAGCTGTGAATACTCTCCCCATCCCCCGTAGCAAGTCTGACCTGGAGAGCGATGACAGGAAAAGCAACTAACAGGAGGCATCCGATAAAGCCCCCCCTGCTTTGTCAAACCCCAGCCTCTTGGTTACTTTTCCTACTAGCACCTGGCACAAAGGAGCAACCCCATTCCACAAGATGAGGGGGACCAAGGAATAAGAGGGCCTGAGCTGGAGCCACTGGGAGAGGACGGCAACAGGACGCTGCAAAGTTGGGGAGCAGGGGGAAGAACAGCTTTTGTCCATGCTGAGCAGGGTGGAAGCCCACAGATCAAAGTGACTTGTAACCACTTACCCCAGGCTATGCCCCCATTCAGGTTTTCACCCCTGTTCCGCTCTTGGAAGCCGTAGAAGGGAGCTGGTCCCATAGCTGCAGGGAAAATCCTGCCCATTTTGGCTTGTCAAAGATTCAGCACTCGAGCAGGGCGTGGCCTTGTGAAACTCAAAGGAGACTCCAGCTAGGCCAAGGAATTTACTGGCCAACTATCCAGTGCGGCCAATTTATGATTTTATCCCAAGTCTTGTTGCTTTGGTGCTTTCCTTAAAGCCCGAGCTCTGGGAGGCCTGGGATTCTATTAGACTCTCCCATGAAAAGAACTCAGCGTTTATTGTTTTTAAACTCTCATGATTCTCATGCCAGTCCCGTGATTTTGGGAAGTCTGACCCAGGATTTATGAATCCTTGGGGCTAGCACTGCTCAGCATCTTAAATCCATGATTGAATTCTTCAACAGAGGCAGGAGCATTCAAGCATCCAACTCTCTTCAGGTTTAACCAAAGGTAAGTGGCTTAGAGAATCATCAAATTTTAGTAACACCCCCCTGGCCAAATTAACACCTTCTCTGGCTTGAGTCGTCTGCTCAGCAGGGACAGCCTGCTTAAGGTGTTCGTAAAGGGGGCAAAACACAACAGGAAGAAGTGGTCAATCAACTAAACATCAGATTAAAAAAGCCCAGACTCCTTAGACATACAGGTTCAGCCCACCTGGTTTTTCACCCTTCTGAGCGAGACACACAGAGAATAGAGTAGGTCACTATGAAAGAATTTTTCAGATTAGACCTTAGAGGGCAGCTCTGTTTGACAACGTGCCTCTGTACAAACAGCATCATAAGATCCCACGGTTATCAACTCCCAGATCATGTCATGTGTTCTCACGACGAGGGAAAATGAGGTTTAGTTCCTGACTAGTACTCCTGCAAACCTCAACTGAGAGGCGGCTTTGTTCTTCTAAGCACCAGTAAGAAAGGCCAAATTATGCTCAGTAACCCCTTTGCAGTCCTAGCGCCATCAATAGGTTTGCACAGGTGAAACTGATTGGAACTTAGTAAACAATCACGTTGATGAGACACAAGAAGGAATAGAAACCTTCTTTGAGGAGAGGTTTCTTCAGGACTAAAGAGATTAAAAAGCAATAGAAATGTACTTTTGTCTGATACATGCACTAGGGGATCTGATTGTCCCATTTTATACAACTGCATCTCAGGGTAGAGCTGTTCTCTGCTCCCTATAGATATAAAATCCCAGTAGGATTTTTCCATGGGGATGAGATATTCCAGTGACGATTAGCAATGCCTTAATAAGTTCAAAGGAAAACAGAGCTCAACTTGATGTCCCTGACTGAAAATTCTAGTACCTGATCATAAACTGAGCACGGATTTCCCTAAAGGGGATTAGTATCTTTGGCATCCGGTAAAAATTAAACCACGCTGGGCCTGGATCATCCCCAATCATTTATACTTGAAGGAAGCAGGACAGATCCTCAGCTGGAGAAAAAGGTCTGAGCTCCCCTAGGATGACAATTCCCACCAGTTGAGGCTCTTCCCTCTCAATCCCAGGGTCGGGACCCAATGTTACCAGTAGTGGGAGTGGAGAGGAAGTGATTCTGTGATCACCCACAGCTATTAGCTAGGAGCAGTTATTGGGCTCGAGCAGCAGTCAGTCTGATTTTAAATTCTTCGTTCCTGTGCCATGGGGAGCAGCATCCCAGGCGAACACCAGCATTTTGATTGCAGTTCTACACACTCGCTAAATGAATGAACTACCACTTTAAAATAGCCGGAAAGACAAAAGCTTGAGATAGTTTTAGAACCCAGAACTTAGGATCTCCCTGCCCTGGTTTCCCAGCCGGGACAAAGATCTGTTCACAGTGCAGGCAAAGTAGCCAGAGGCTGGGAAGGGACAGAGCGCCATGGAAAGCAGTTCACTCACTCTGCCACCTTGTGGCCAATCCCCCTATTTACAACTTCTGTTCTTTCACAGATGTATTGTTTTCTATGGCGTTAGCCTGCGTCCAGGCTGCTAGTTGAAAAGCTACAGGCCCGAGCTGCTGCTTGTTTCCATAGTTGAAATAGGGTTGGTAATACAAACAGATAAAGTGAGAAGTTATCATTGAACAGCTTGTTGTTGGACCCATCAGTAAAGCCTAAATTATGTATAAAAATTCTTTGCCCATAAATTTACGGCTCATCTTCAACTTCTCCCTCCCTCCACCAGGCAGTTTCCACATCCTTCTGCTTCTTCCTCGAAAAATCAATCCATTTTTCTGCTGCCAAAGCTCCCCTTCAGACCCTCATCTCCCATCAGTGCAGTAACTTCTGGATTACCCTTCTCCCCCCCACCCTGCAGTTCTAATCACGTAAGCCTCCCCCACAACCATATCCCTCTGTTCAATCCCACCACTAGCTTCCCTCCTTTCACCCCATCAAACTTCTAGCACTGTCACTACTCAGCCCCTCCAGACCTGTCTCGCATCCTTACCTTGCTCCTCCACCACCATCCTTGGCCACCCCTTTATTAGCCTCTCTCAGCATCTTTTACAAGTCTCCTGGCTCACTGCCCTACACATGGGCTGCCCCCACCCTCTTTCTCCTTCACAACACCTGTAACAATCCCAATAGAAAAATCAATCCGTGAGGATTTGATGGATGAGGAAAAATTGATACTAATACAGCATGTTAATCAACATATACATTTAACTGCATCCTCTTTCCTTTATCAATAAGGGCTCGTTAGGTTGTACTTTTCAGGAGAGGGACTGTCATCTGATACACTACAGTTCTAGTTGGCATAGGCTTGGCAAATGTTGATTTTATTATTATAATTCCACTAAATCGTTTTTATCTCTTTAAATGGTTGCACTTGCAGGACATTATGAGGGAGACGGGGCAGACAATTTGATCAAATCAATTTGGGATGCCTAGAACTGATTCTTCCTCAACTTTCAGTGTAATGAATACTGCACAATTGCCTGGAGCCCCAGCTCTAGTAACAGCAGAGGCAGCTGTTTTAAGAGAAATGGCACTAGATGTTTTATGCACATAAAGGTGAAAGTCTAAGTTAAAGCAGTGTTTTTCTTACTGTTTCCATCTGAAAGGTTCAGTTATCAATGGAAATATTTGTTCAGCAGTTTGTGTGTTTAGTGAAATCAACATTTACCACCAAGTGTAGTCTTTCCAAGCATAATCATGCTTATTAACGGGGCCTTTGCCTTACTGCAATATTATATACATATGAAACAAGGCTGTCAGAGGTTTTTTCAGGCACATTACATTGGAACAATAAACAAGGAGACTTCTCACTCCTCTCAGGGATACAAAAACTCATGCTTGATAAAGGATTTGTTAGAGGGTGTATTACTTTACTTAACCTTCCTCTTCACTGCCACCTCAGCAGATTTATAGGAGTGACAGCTTCCCACTGAGGTTGGACGTTTCTGAAACAGGAACTCTATTATGCAGTGGAGAAGGATTTATCTCAAGCTAATTTGTTATGATAGGGAATGAATAAAAGCTTAACTGCAGTAGATAAAATACTGAAACATTAAACCATGTTTAATGGGTAGGTGTAATATGTGGAAAGAACAGGATTAAGAATTTCAGATTAAGTAATTACATGGTCAACTGTACAGAACAAGTTCATGCACATTAGCATGGCAAGACATTTGCTTTAAAGCTTTATAATGCAGTTTTGCCATCTACAAGTAGCATTATTGACAAGAGATGTTAATCCCAAAAATCTTCATACCACATCCCAGAAAAAAAAAAAACCCCAGATGTTTACTTCGCAATAAAACATTATCCCTGAGCTAAAACAATGCATTGCAACCCCATGCATATGTCAAAGGAGCCTCATACATTAGGCCAACTTCCTGAACGCCTACAGAACTACTAGGAGCAGCTACAAGTTGTCTGACCATTGTAACTTCAACTTCTTTTGATTGTTCAAAGAAAAGTTATCCAAGGCACGTTGGGAAACAAGTTATCGGCTACTGAGGAGTAAATCTAGTTTTACAATGTGCAAAGGCTCTGTTCATATATACATGCAATTAGTGACTGGGTGTGCAGACAGCAAGTTAGGTGCATACCATCTATTTGCACAGGGCAATTTTCTGATTGTGGTCAAGTCTGCACACAACTGATTGTTTTCGAAAACAAAGCCCTTGACAATATTAGACGTTCAAGGGAACACCAGGAAGGAAGAAATAAATGAGTACAGTGAAAGTTGTTCCAGAGCAATCTTGTGCTTGCTGGGATGCAAAAGCCTAGTTGACGCTTTTCTGTACATCTCAAAAGGAACGCAGCCATTTGTCATGAACGTCTGGGATTTGGAAAGTTCTAGCTGACCAAGGTAACAGGTCCTTCTGAGTTTAAGTTGACAGCAAAAAAAGTGATTTTGGCATTGGTCTTTCTAACATTACAGAAAATTGCATGGACTGAATATAGAACCTCTAGGCTACTTACATGGAGCATCCTGGAAGCGGTTACAAGATGCACAGCGCAACTAAGTTCTAGATGAATGAAGCTTTGGGATTTACAAGCCAGAAAAGGAACCTTTAAATGGTTTTAAAAGACACCTGATTTTGACAACTTGAAATTCACCCTGTAACTCAGCTGATCCATTTGGTGTACTTGTTGATCAAAGGCTGTGGTTAGCTTTCACTTTCTGACAAAGTGGGTAATTACTGTATTACACATTATGTCCTCCATAGGAAATTTACAGCGAAAGCATGATTTGTAGTCTTCATTTTCTGTTAAGATTAAGCACTGCATTCCTTTAAGCAATTTAAGGGTAAATCTCCCCTAGAAAAGTCTGCCAATACTTAACAGCAGTTCCTTGTTTTATATATGAGATACTACACTCAGTGTAATTTAAACAGCATTTGAAACATTCCAACAGGAATCAAATAGCATTGGTAGAAGCAGTCTGCTTCTCTTACATCTCCGACACACCCGCTTACTGTCTATGCATTTAGGGCACTGCTGTACAATGCTAGGCCCTCTCATTTAATGCCGGCTATACAGCACACTGAAGTTCTTTGGAATGAAGACATGGAAAGCACAGTACATTTTAGTCTATATGCTGTAAAGGTTTAAGGCTTCTTGCAGTTTTTAGGTTGCTTAGTTGCTATAAGATGGGGAAATCCCAGTGATGCTTATTTTAACTTTGGAGTTGGTGTCCAGACTAGTCAGGTATACAGAAGAGTAGTCTGCTGGAGTTACAGACGGGCTAGTACGTCGATATCAAAATCAGTTAGTTGGCCACGGCGGGAGGCCCTTCTGGCAGGAGTGATGCAAAGAAAGTCTTGAAGAAAAGCCAGGCTGTGTTCATAAATGAAGGCCTCTCCTGCTGATTTTCTGGTAAAGCTCTTCCTTCATCAGAAACAGCCTCAGGTTCAGCTTCTCCACCTACATTTTCCTCCTGCCAAGATAAAGTATCTCTCATAAGTGGGGCCAGTTGTTTTAAGAACACTAAATTCTAAAAGCCAGATTCCTTTCTAAAACAAGCTATTTTAATTCCTTTCAAGGGAAGAACGTCAAGGACTCATTAACAGCCCTGACTATACTGCAGTACTTCATTCCTTTATTACCCATTGACCCAGAATTACAGCTCAAGAGACCACACAGCTAAGACACAGTAAAGCCACCCACCATTGCCAATACTGTCCTGTGCTAAATAAAACTATTTTAGGACCTATTTACAAGTGGGAATGATGCATCTGATACACCCAAACAAGCTGCTGAGTCTCAAAAATATTTTGATGTTCTAGTTGTAAATTGGTCAGCACCAAAAGCACAATTCCACACCAAGTACTAAGACCAAATGAAAATGCCAACTTGAACATGTCCCATTAACGGCATATACAGAGAGAAACATGATGTACAACCCTCCATACCAGATTAAGATTCATACACATTCAAGTTTTATCTGCATTTATGAGAGCCGTTCACCTGTAGTAGAGACAGATCATGGTGGGACTGTTAACACCTGCTGCAGTAGTTTAGTGTTAACAAGCACTGCAAATATTTGCCTCTTCCCAAAATATGAAAATGGTTGCGCCTGTTACACTGCTAACAGCCACAGTAGCCCTTGGCCAAGCTGGGATTTGCTGGAACAAAATGCATCAACTACAAAATACCAGGTGATTGCCAGGGTTAAGTTTTAAAACCAAATACATTTCTAACATATGGCAGGAAAGATACTTTTGCTTTCATAGAAATCAAAGTATCAGAGTACCTATTACAGTGGTAACAACCAGACAGAGCAGGAATTAACCACATCCCTCCTGTTCTTTGCCTGTGGCACAGAATACATTTAGTCTCCTGAAGGCTGTTAATATTTTGGTCTAATTTCAGTTGGGTTTAGCATGCGAGTGGCTGAGTGGTGTTGGTGGCCTGTAAAATACAGGTGGTCAGACTAGAGCAGGGGTAGGCAACCTGCGGCGCGCGAGCTGATTTTCAGTGGCACTCACACTGCCCGGGTCCTGGCCACCAGTCCGGGGGTCTCTGAATTTTAATTTAATTTTAAATGAAGATTCTTAAATATTTTAAAAACCTTATTTACTTTACATACAACAATAGTTTAGTTATATATTATAGACTTATAGAAAGACCTTCTAAAAACGTTAAAAATGTATTACTGGCACGCAAAACCTTAAATCAGAGTGAATAAATGAAGACTCGGCACACCACTTCTGAAAGGTTGCCAACCCCTGGACTAGAGGATCTGTGATCCTTCTGGCCTTGAACTCTAGGACTCAGTGAGAAAAGAAGGCTAGTTTAGATATTGTTTTACCAGGAAAATAAGTTTCCAGCAGAAGATTTTGTAGAGAACACTATTCATCCTTACAAATGTTTGGAAAATGGAAACTAAACCCTTTCCCGGGATTTGCTGCTGTTGTATGTCAAATATTGGGCCAATACCTGTAAGTTATTGTTTTGGTCCTGGTTTATCGCAGCTTGGGGAAGAACGTTGTTTGGAAGAGGGTGAACTGGCCGTCGTCTAAATGGAAACCATCCAGCATGGTGCCTGGAAGACAAGAACTCATTGTGAATAGCAGTTAGCTAAACATTACTCCTGCCTTGCTAGACTTCAGGCCTAGCAAAACACTTGAATACGCACACAAGTGTAGACAGTTTGCTCAAGACACTGGGATTAATTCTGATTGGTTGAGGTGCTGGAGGACAGCTCCCAAAAACCTTCTCCACCACAATCCCTACCCCCCAGCATTATGGCAGCAAGGCACAGCATAGCATTCAAGAGGCAGCAGTGGAACCAGCTCTATATAGGCTGGTGCATCACAGCCTAAGGGGTCTTGATTAGGCCCCCAGTGGGCTAAAGCAGATGCTGCAGTGTGTAGCATGAGAACTAGGACAGAGTGCTCCTTTTTAAAGCAGCAGCATGTACCACCGTACCTTGGATTTCCCTACACCTGCCCTAATGGGATAACTGAAATTGTGATGCTGGCATTGCTCCCTCATCCTGTGTGGCTCACAAAGAGGGGTCATAACAGGCCACCACATGGCCACTGGGCTAACTAATCTCTCTCTCCCCCCAGTGGCTGCATCTTGTACTCCAAAAATATAAACTTTTAAAAATGTTCTACCCGTATGGCTCTGAAGATAAAACTTCAAAATACTAACCAGATGTAATCCAGTGCTGACTTCCTGAGTCTGCAGACAGCCTGAATTAGCTCTAAGAAGCGTGGACTGCTTCTGTTTGAATGTGTTAACTCTTAAGCCTACTTGTGGCAATTTAAAGGTCTACACTAATGTCACAACTGATCCAAGCATGTAAAGGAGGACAACAATTATTTGAAGATCAGCACAACAAATTATGAGCAGCTTCACAAACGGGCAGAGATTGGGAAGTACTACAAATGACCTCCCCATTCCGAGCAAGAGTGGTCAGTTTGACTGGTAGCATTTTTTCTAGTCAAGGAAGTGGCTAAGGATTACACTGCATTCAAATTAGTTTTGCATGTTTACAAGCAGTCAACAACCATGGTAAAAAATCCTTAGCCACATCTTATATAAAGGTATGGGATCAATTCCCCTACCAAAGACATGGCCGCACACAACTGTACACAATCGTTAGCCATGTTCTTTGAATATTAACCTGAACCAGTAATGTATGATATAGTGTGTTAATGTTTTATTGTAACTTTGACTTTAAACAATTCCCTCCAAAAATGTTGAGCTAAGAGTTACAGGAGATTTGCTGATCCTGTGATGCATTTTGACATGTCAAAATGTAAGACCTGCTCGACACTGGAAAGTATCATCAATTATTTTGGCTAGGAATGTGATTTCTTACAGTGATACTGATATAAACCCTTGTGTGGCTACAGTTATACCAATATAAAGGGGTCTTATCCTAGTCTAGCACTTTCCTATCCCATATGGGATAAGTTACACAAGTAAAAGCACTTTTATACTACTATGAATGCATCCACACTAGGGAGTTGTGTTGCTTTAACTATACGACTATAGTTAAACTAATACAACGGATGCATAGATGAGCTGTAAGAGACTGGATTACAACAAAGACTCTCACAGTGCAGACAAACTGCTCCAAAGAGCAGTCACCTGAATGACAAGTCAACACTGAAATGTTTACTTCATGAGACACGCATGCTTACAGGTACATCAAAACTGTGCCGCCCATAACCATGAGGAACCTGCTGAGGCTGGAGTAGAAGTAGATAATGTTGACAAAAACGAAGAACAGGGTAGCCGAATAAAGCCAGTCCAACCAATCTCGATTCATCTCCTCCTCCTCTTCCATGAGAGGACCCCCCTGGGCATTCATTTGCAAATTCTGATTGGCCCCTGCATTGAGCTGAGGAGGGGCATTATGGTTTCCAGGCAGGTTTTGTGCAGGAAATGCATCTGGAAGAGGGGCTGGAGCTGCAACTGGTGCCACTGGTATCTCTTGTGACCTTTGTGTAGGTGATGTATCAGCAGTAACAGCAGCCAAGCTGAAAAGAAGATAAAAGCAGTAAGACTTTGCCAAGCTCTGCAAAGGATAAGGCAGGCAGGCATAAAAACTTGTTAATCTTACATTCATGTGCAACTAGGAAGCAGCAAATTGTGATTAGAGCAGTGACAGAAATCAGCCCTGTTTATGCCAATGACATGCCACATGATGGGATAAGTTCAACTTCGTGGGTCAGTTTCACCTTCTGTAAAATGGGATAACATCCATCTTCATAAAGTTGGAATACAAAGGTTTATTTCAGTACTCCACTGTTGAAACTTTCAAAACCTCAGTACACCTCTACCTCGATAGAACGCTGTCCTCGGGAGCCAAAAAATCTTACCGCGTTATAGGTGAAACCACGTTATATTGAACTTGCTTTGATCCACCAGAGTGCGCACCCCCCCCCCCCCGCGCACTGCTTTACTGCATTATATCCGAATTCGTGTTATATCAGGTCACGTTATATCAAGGCAGCGCTGTACTTAGACCCCGTAACAGTCTGGGTAACTGTATCAAGTTTTGCGGCACTTAGCTTTATCTAAGCAAAAGGTTGCAAGTAAAACTAAACCGAATTACATTTTAGGGGCTACATACAGCATTTATATTTACATCAGACATCTGAATCATAAAGGCTAAGTAACATGCCTTTCAACTACATTACACCTGAGGGAAGGAAAAAATTCCCTCATTAAGAAATAGTTAGAACATTTCAAGGCTCCCAGGGAGAATAGGAAACAAAAATGAAAACTTACTATTGCATGTAGTACTGTCTTGCGTAAATCTGCTGAAACCAGGACATCTGTAGCATGTTGTAAGTGGTATATGCAGAGTATCCAGGAGCCACACCATGGGGATGCTGGGCAGCTTCAACCCTTATTGAAAGGGTAAAACACAGGATGTTTGCTTACAAAAGAACAGGCAGGCCCACTTGCCCAAGTCTTTCCCTACTTGTACCATTAAAGAGAGACAGCATCGCAAAAGCTGTTTGATGCTTTACCCACTAGAAGATACAAGCATATACCATACACTTTCAGCATATCCTACCTTAAATCTGGGCTTGAAATACTGCAATCATTTTTATTAGAACATGAATGCAGAAATCTACATTTCATCCCGAAAATATGCTGTTGTGAAATCAGAGTGGGGACAGGAAGACAGTCTTACTACCACTGGATCCCAAGTACCATCTTTCTGATTAAATGATAGGATATTCAGCTTTAATTTCAGTTCAGGTCCATTCAAACAAAGTGGCAATGCTTAAGCAATGTTCCAGAAAGTAGTACTAGGATCTCAGAAGAAAGCAAGCCCGCTCAATCTAACCTTCAGAAGCTCAATAGTGGAGACAGCAATTCCTGGGAGAAAATATTTAACTCCTAACAAAGGAGAATCAATTGTAGGGGCTACCTGCATAAGAATTTCGGATCAACATAGAAGCTCCTGGGTTCATATTTCCATGAAAATGTAACATCAATTCTACTTTTCCACATGTAACAGTAAAGATAACGCTTCCCCTCTGGTTGGAGAGGCATACATCCATTTAACCCCTTCAGTGTCCACTTAAATATCTAGAAGAATAGTATACATAGCTTATATACCACTGACATTTACAACATTAAGTATGGCATGAGGTGCTGGTATTCAACACTTAGATTGTAATTAAGAAAGAAAGAAAGAAAGAAAGTTGAACATGAATGGTCAACATTTTCAGAAAGTTATCAGCATGTGTGGCATATTTACCTAGTATTGGCTTCCCCTGTAGAAAGCTGGTTGCAGGAAGTCTCCCTTTGTCTCAAGCCATCACTTGAAGAAACTACAGAAGGATCTTGACCAGGTCCTGAAACAGTCTTTGGCTGTTGATTGGTTTCATCAATCTAAATAATACAGTTAATAATGGAGCTGACTCAGAACAGTATCTGAGAAAAGTCTTCTGTTGCAAAGCTAAGAGGATGCACTGAATGTTCTCTTGAAGTTTTACCAAACTGCTGTGCATTTGTACAGATCTTTGACAATGGGCATTACCACAATACCAATTAATAGTCATAGCCATTGTTATAACCAGTCCTTCCATACATATTCTATTTCTAACACTCCTTTAAAAGTAACCTGGAAAGGAAAAAATAGTTGTGTGATTCTTTCCCCCGCCCCCCAATCATCTCATGATATGCAAAGGTCTGAGTATGTTTTTTAAAGTTTTGGTTTGCTTATGGGGTTTTTTGGATTAGAAATTCAGATCCCGCATTGGATAAAAACTATAACTGGAAAACTCAGACTTGTCTACACAAAGAAGTTGCACCAACTTAAACTGGGGTAATTTTGTGCTTGTCTAAACACAAGCTGTACTGCTTTAACTATTCCATTCCCATAGAGGAGTAAGTTATACCAGTATAAGCATTTTTATACTAGTATAAATGCATCCATCCATACTAGATCATTGGACCACTTTTAACTATACTGCTATGGTTAAAATGGTATAAGTGGTGTGTTTAGACAAGCTCTAAGGAATAAAAAAAAAAACATTAAGCTTCCTTGGGTCTTTAGCTTTTTGTTGTTAGCTTTTATTTATTTATTTAATTCTTTTGCAGGTCCCCTTTAAGAGCAAAGATCATCTGTCCTTCTCGTAAGTGTACTAGTATGAGAATTTATTTTTAAATGTGTATCTAATTTTGGAGTTTATGAAATGAGGTCTTAAGTTCTAGCAGCATGTGGGTGGCTGCTCTGCAAACTGCTCTATAGAACCAGGACAATGCACCTTAATCAAAATGCAATACCTGAGCATTTCTAGTCCCAAGGATCTCCGCCATGTGTGTTGTGACAAATATCCAACTGGAATTAGGACGTACTGTATGCTGTTCACTTTTGATTTAAAGAAGGGTGGAAATTTATGCCTTCAGATATGAAGCTTGTGCACTAGTTAATCACCTAACTTCCATTCAGAAATAAAATATTGTGATGTGATATATGGTATTGTGCACTAAACCAATACATATTAAACTGAAATTCTAATGCTCATTTTTAGTTTCAATTTCCTCTTCCATATGTTTTTGAAGTTCTGTTGCCAAAGTAAATCCCAGCAAAATTCATATGCTGGACACCGCCTATTCAAACGGTAATCATTTCCCTCTCCCTCTGATGAGCATAACCACTAGTGTGATTGGACTCGGTAATCCTGGGGGAACAGGCACCACAATTTCACCCTTTGCATACAGCCCAGCCACCATGTCCATCATTGGCTGAAGAGCCTGCAATATGAGGTGTCACTAGCTATTTAATGGAACTAAATTACATGCGATTAAACATTTCGCCCCCCTCTGGCAGTAATGTCAACTCAAGTTTATGCAAACAATTAGAAACTGAGGTTTGACAAGTTAGACACAAAGCGGGTGAAGTAATATCTGTTACTGAACCAACTTCTGTTGGTGAAAGATAAGCTTTCGAGCTCCACAGAACTCTTCAGGTGCCATCAGCTCTGAAACTTAAACAATCCTTGCTCTGGGATTACAGTACTTATTCCAAATGTGTAAGCGTTCCTTCCCCCAGCCCTATTACAACTCTGAAGGAATGCTGCCATAACACTGACAATGACAGAACTTTTGACACATGAGGTTTACCACCCTGCTTTGACATTATCAACCTTTACAAACATACAGTAATTAAAAAACTAGGTCACATTCCACAGATTTTTGCTGATCCTTTCAATATCTAATGTAGGAATAAAGTCTAAATTTAACATACCTTCGCATTGGTCTCTTTCATTTTTGACAGATTCTTTGACTGGTACACCAGATGAAGAGCATGAAACGTCTCCTGCTAAAATAAAAGTCAAGATATTTGATAATCATTTTGTTTTATCTATTAAAACTTTATTTGATCTCACTTGATACTGCAGCGCAGCTACCACAAACATGTAATTACCATACCTTGGGCAGCACATCTCTCAAATAAAGGTGGTCAAGCAGCAGCTTCCCAGAATAAATCAGCTTCTGGTCCTCTTCAGGCTTTGAGAGAAGACAAAATATACTGGTTACTAATCTGTCAAATGCATTCAAATGCCAAAAAAAGTTAGCTTCACATAAGAAAAGCTGTGTACGTAACAGCTGACTGATAAACACCAGAGGCCAAACACTGCTGTCAGACACACAAATCAGAAATGCTACTCCCCCCATCCCCTCCCCAGTTGAACAGAAGTTGTGTGCATCTCTATTAAAGAAGAATTTGGCTTGTCAATTACTTGTATGCAAAATGTGCAATACCATAGAGATTTAGACAAATGCATACAGAACGAGGACAGAACAGCTGCTCCGGTATATGAAGTGATTCATTTTGTAGTACAGGCCAGAAACCCCCACCACAATCCTGGCAAAAAGGAACCTCTCTACACTCCTTAAAGCAGAGCAACCCGAGCAGCACTGCAGGCACTTTGTAATCTTGTGACAATTCACATGATCTCCCACCCAGTAAATCTGAGCAGCTGTTCACACAGAAATCCTCCTGCAGTTGGAGCACACAGTCACTGGGAGTTGCCCCAGAGCAAGAGAGCCCATGTTCCCCTCCCTACAGGAAAAGGTCAGCTCTGCCAGCTTCCAAAGCAAGAGTCCTACCACCGCTTCCAAATTTAATTCTTCAAAGCTACTAAAAACCAGTCTTACGTGATTGCTACATAAATAATGTATCTGACCAATGCTGATGGATGCCATTTTAACACCCCAAAGCAGCATAGGAAGACCTCTAGGCTTCCACTGACACTGGGCATTAAGCAGAAAGATAGCATTTCCCACAGCAGCACACCTTCACAACATGCATGGAATTTGCTCAGATAAAAATGGATTTAAATAAATCAGATTTTTTCATTTAAATTAAATAAGCAGGTTTAGTTCTAAAGAATAAACCTATTTAAAATTAAATTTGAAATTTAAAACCAAAGTTAAGGCCTAAATTTATAATCTATTGACGTCATTTAAATAAAATACAAAAAATTGTCTTAAGCAGTACATGTTTGCTGCCAAGTGTTAAAGAAATTCAAAGTACTGAAAGATGGAAGTCACTGGCTAAGCACCTCGAACTAGAGTCTACTGAAGTGTTAAAATAGTTTAACAGTCGCCTCTTCCACAGGTGCAGAGTGAATATATTCTTCATTTCAGTCTATTCACCTAGTTCAGTTCAATCATCAGTTCATTCAAAGTTAGCAACTGGGAGCTGAAAAAGCAGGAAAACTTGTTTTCCCTCTTCAAATCTATGAATAAAAACTCGTTGAAAGAAGATGAGATCTAAAAGTTATAAAAATCCTGAAGGACACAGTCAACAGAAATAATCAGGTTAAATTCGCTAACTAGAGAGAGTACTTTCTTTGTTTAACAAAAATCAGTTTAAAAAGCAAAACTATTTGAATTTTTGTATGTTTCCTGCACAATTAAGGTAGTTTTATTTAATAATTTTAAATACTGTTTGTGTATTTTAACTGAATTTGAATCCACGTCCAAGTAGAGCTTGACGCAAATCACAAGTTTAAAAAAAAAAATCTAGTAAAAAAAATGCATCATTCAACATTTCCTAATAAAAAATAAGAATCTAAAATACATATGAAGTTAATGTACACAAGTGCTTAAATACACATGTAGTGTATCCTTAGCAAAAGAACAATAAACTTGGGGCAAAGGCTATATTTAGTTACAAAAAAACAGGCTGGTTACCAAAGAGCACCAACCTTTTTAGAAGAGTAACTAGAGTGCAAAACCACAATTAAAATCTATTACTTAAAAATCAGTTTTAATCTGTCAGTCAGCAAGCAGGAAACCTTGATTATTTAAATCAAACCACGCTTGCTTGAAAGCCCAGTGTGTCCCTTCATCATGTCAATTCACATTTGTACAGATTGTTATGTCTACTTATTTGATTAGTCTTAAGCAGCATATAGAATATAGTTATTTTGGAGTTTCCTATAGTGCCCATAACCAGAATATCTGACATAGTCAAAAAAAAAAAAAAAAACCAGAAACAGCTGTTTGTTTCAGTGTGAAATAGTATTTAGATGTTATTTTTACTAACTCCAACAGATTTCTCTCAATGAATCTAATGCTTACAAGCAAAACAGTATCATAGTTATTTCATGGACAAATTTTCTTTCGACGTAAAAATAATGCAGCCATTTAACTCCCTTGTCTTGCCTGGAACACTAACTTAAAACTTTTTTTTAAACTTTGCCTATACTGCCACTTCATAAGAAATTGTTACCATTGGGAGAAAAACTAAGACTCCTATTACATACTACTTCAGCATCCAACAAGCTACTACACCACATCATTAAATGGCAGCTGAACAGGAAGAAATAAAGCAAAAAGCCCCCAAACAGTTTCCCCACATGCTGAACGAATTTCACTTCTGTATTTACAACTGATTTCCATAACATATTTACAAACTATTTTGAATTGCACTGTAACATTTGCAACTAGCCAACCATGCAGAAGCAGGTGTTCTGGAATCCTGGGCAGGGAAAGAGGAGAGAACAGGACACTTTTTTTTGCTCCACATTATCAAACTTTAAAGAGACATCAAATAGATGCTGAAGTTCCCTGAACCTTTGAACACTTTTACAGGCACAAAGTGGGTGATGCAATATCTTTTATTGGACCAGCTTCTGCTGATGAAGACTAGTTTCAAGCTTACACAGAGCTCTTCAGGTCCTGAAGAAGGTTCTTCGGCTCTGTGTAAGCTTGAAAGTTTGTCTCCCTCACCAACTGAAGTTGGTCCAATACAAAAAGTTTTACCTCACCCAGCTTGTCCTTCTAAAACCCTGGTACCAACAAAGCTACAACTACACTGCAGGAACACTTTTGCCTCCTGTTCAATAGTGCAACCTTTTAGAGCCAAGGCGGCCGTAATTAGTGTGTTTTATTTTTTTTTAAGAGGGAGGCAAAGTAGATTGTGCAATAGAAATGACACCAGCTCTGTGGTAACACAAACACTCAAGTCCACTCCCAGAAGCGTCCCCAGTATGGGCTCTCAATGTTAGGGCCTACCAAATTCACAGTCCATTTTGGTCAATGTCATGGGATTTTAAAAACCATAAATTTCATGATTTCAGCTATTTCCATCTGAACTGTCAGGGGGGTGTAACTGGGGGGTGCCGACCCAAAGGGTGTCACAAGGTGGGGGGTGCAGTTTAGCCACCCTGACTTCAGTGCTGCTGCGTGCAGAGCGGGGCCCTTGGCTCCCAGCCCCAGCGCAGGAGTGGGGGTGACACCACCACGACCCCGCCCTACAAGGACCCTGCGACACCCCCACAAGCCCGTTGGGTCAGGACCCCCCAGGCGGAGGAGACACGCGTCTCCCCAGGGAAGCCCGCAGCGGACCCGGTAAACGCGCTCCCAGGAGAGCCGCTGTCCCGGCCCGGGCCCGGAACGGGGCAGGGCCCCACTCGCCTCACGGCTTCGCTCACCCCCAAGGAGTCACCCCGGGGGGGCCCCGCAGGAGGGAGGAACCCGGACTCCGGCTGCGCCCCCCCCCCCCCCCGCCGGGGGGGAGGCACGCGGGGCACGACGCCCCCTGCCCGGGGCGTGAGGGGGCGAGCCGGTCCCCGGGCTGGGGCTCGAGGCCTCTCCCGGCCCGCTGGGGCGGGGAGCCGCGGGACAAGGCCGGGGGGGGGGGTCCCCGCCTCACCGGCTCCTCCGGGTGCAGGCGGCGCAGCCGGGCCTTGAGCTGCCGCACGGTCCAGCCGGGCTCGCCGCGGAGGCGCAGGTCCGGGTGCCGCTGCGTGGGGCTCCGCACGAGCAGCTCGAAGGGCTCCATGGCGCGCGGGGCTGGGGCTCGTCGGGCAGGGACGGGACGGCGAGCGGCTGCCAACGCACGACGGCCCCTTTTATACCCTCACCGCCTCTCGCCCCGCCCCCTGTTCGCCAGTGCGCTGTGGCTGCAGCGGATTGGCTCCTCCTGGGGAGCGTGTCAATACGTGGGCCTATCAGAGTGCACATCCGGGTAGAGGGTGGGGCTTAGGGAAGGGGCGGCTTGGTAGGGGGTGCCCAGCTGGGCTGGGGTGAAGGAGGGGGAAGGGCCACCCATGCAGTGGCCATGGGCAGGAGGGACAGCAGGGCACGCTCCCTTGCCCTGGTGCGGGCCAAGGTGGTTGTGGCACCTGTAGGGCCACCCCTTCAGGAGCAAACAGAGCGAGCATCCCGTGACTGTCGCAGTCTTGCGGGTCGTGATTCAGCCCAAGGTGCCGTGGAAGGGAAGACAGGAATTCCTTTCTCCCACCCTGTGTCTGGCTTGTCTATTTAGAGTCCAAGTTCTCTAGGGCGAGGACTGTCTCTTATGTGTTTGTACCATGCTAAAAATAATGGGATCCAGAGCTCAGCCAGCCGCTCTAGGCCAGCGGTTCTCAAACTTTAGTAACCTGAGGACCCCCATTTTGGTTTAAAAAATGTTCGCACACCCCCTCCCCACAAGTCCCACCTGCTCAGCCCCAGGTCCTGCCCTCAAGGCCCCACCCCCTTCCCCGCCTCTTTACAACCCTTCCCCCGCTTCTCCCCTTCCCGCACAGCACCTCCTGCACACTGCTGAACAGCTGTTCTGTGGCCTGCAGGAGGCACGAAGAGGGAGGGGGAGGAGTTGAGGGAGGGAGAGAGAGGAGTTGATCAGCAGGGCCCGTGGACCCCCGGAGTACCCTCGCCGACCTCAGTTTGAGAAACGCTGCTCTAGGCTCCATTGCTTCAATACAGAAATAACACCCCTGTGACCACATACACCTACTTGTCACCTGTCACCCCACCCTGGAACCCATACGGGGCATCATCGAAAACTACAACCCCTATTTGATAGAGTCCCCATCCTGAAAGAAATCATTCCTGAACTCACTCCCTCCACTTCTGGCCTTCAAACAACCCCCCAACCTCTCCAAGCTTATCATCGGATGCAAGCTCCCCCCAGTCAAGGACACACAAACTTAAAATGCCCCAGACTCTACCAGAACAACAGAGGCAAAAGCTGGAACCATAGCTCCACTGCTACCATGATCAAACACCCCACCCCCCACAAACCTTTTTCAAGATCCATGGATCCTACACAAGCCTATCACAACATCCAGCGCACTAAATGCCTCAATAACAACTATATGGGTGAAACCAATCACTGTGCTCTTGAATGAACTCACACAGAAAAATGATGAAAGACAAAAACATTCCATCACTTGTGGGTGAACATTTTTCACAAAGCGATCACTCTATGTCTGACCTATCAGTCTTCATCCTCAAAGGAAACCTGCACAACACTTTCAAAAGATGAGCCTGGGAGCTTAAATTTATAACTCTGCTTGAGGCTAAAAATCATGGACTGAACAGACACTGGATTTATCGTTTATTACAACAATCTGTAACACACTAACTAACCGGTATCTTTTTGTCCTGTGACTGCAGGGGTGTTAATGGGCCACTCTACCTTGAATGGTCCCTTCGAATATGGAATAACAACTTTTGCTAAACAATCTGTCCACCTTGCATTTGGCTGTGATGCTTGGAGTACCTTTCCCAGTCCTGAAGAAGAGCTCCGTGTGGCTCGAAAGCTTGTCTCTCTAACCAGTAGAAGTTGGTCCAGTAAAAGATCTCACCCACCTTCTCTCTCTCATATCCTGGGACTGACATGGATACAACTATGCTGCATACAAAAATAATGTAAGGAAAGAGAAGTGGACCATGTCTGAGTAAGTTACTGTTATACTTCTCTAATATTTGTATTGCATTAGCGCCTAGACCCCCATGTGCTAGGCACTGTACAAACATTTAATAAAGAGATAGTTCCTACCCAAAAGAGCTTACAGTCTCAGAGTATGTCTACACTACAGTCTAACCCTAGAGAGAAGCAACTGTACTGAGACAGAGAGACTGAGACAGAGAGATGCTTTCTGCTCCAATGTCTCAAATACAACTGCAAGAGACAGGTTTCCTCAAATTTGGGGAATTATAAAAGATGTCTCAGCAAAAAGCAGTGAGGAAAAATTGTGCCTGGCCCTGAAAGACAGGAGAGAAATGGCACTGCACCACTTACCATCCTGACACCAGATCAGGTGTGGACAGTAATAACAAATGGACCCCCAAACAGTGTGTGACCCCACACCAGCTGGGTCATACCTGCCCCTGACACACACCTGAAGGGTCTGGCATTTGTCTTACACTTTAGCAACACATATGTATCTTGTCATCCCAAAAAAGTCTCACTGAATTGAATTGCTTCATCTAACCCTCCCTGCAGCCCTCCACAAACCCCAAACAACCACTAAACTGACAATCTTCTGCTGTGTCATCTCCTTTCAGTCCACTAGGTCCAGATCTCTGGATCTTGACTCAGTTGCCCTGGAAACAGGGATGTCCAGTTCCCACTGGCTCTCTGACAGATTCTGATATATCCATAGTTTGCAGATACCCGAAGCACAATTGCTTGGCTCTTCTCTTACTTTCAAGGTAAAGTATCATTGAGTCCTAAAAGTCAAGGAGAACCTCCCTGATCTGATGTTGTTTAGTGCAGAGTCTCTTTCCCATTCTTTGTCCCCAGTTGTAGTTTTCTTCTGAATCCTTTCCTCTATTGGCATCAATGGTAAAACTCCCATTAATGTGAACTGGATCGTGGCTGTAGTTTGGTTAAAAAAATAAACAAAGCAAGATATCAGTTTTATTTCCTAGCACAAAGTATTTATTTTTTGCCCATTTCATTAGGTGCTCAGTTTTCTCTGGCAGCTGGAGACTGTTGCCCTGAGGCACAATCAGTTCACAGCCGGTACTGTACACTTGTCTCTCGTGTGTGTCATTTGCAGGATTAGCGAGACAAGGACCAACTTTTGTTAGTGAGAGAGACAAGCCTGCAAGCTTACACAGAGCTCTCTTTCCAGTCTGTGTATGTTTCTCTCACCAACAGAAGTTGGCCCAATAAAAGCTATTACCTCACCCACTTTGCCTCTCTAATATCCTGGGACCAACATGGCTACAACACCACTGCATACATTTGGACGTTTGTCATTTTTGGTTCTAAGCCAAGGTGAGCTCCAGTGTCTTATCCTGGATTGCCATGTGCGGTTACCCATGACATGATTATTTATTATTTGTATAACAATAGTGCCCAGCATCCCATTCTGGTAGGCACTATACAAACCCAGCCCTGCTGCCCTAAATCTCTACTGCACTCCTCTACGAGGTTCCAGAGGCGGGTGGTTCTATCATTGGGGCACTATCCCACTCAGAAAAAATGAGAAAATAAAATTAGAGTGAAATCAGTTGAGCCTCATCCCAATTCCATGACCCATCCACAGCTGATCGGTCTTGAACAGAATAGCTTCTGGAGACAAAGGATGCAGGTGGATGCTCTGCATTGTATAGCACCATCCAGGGGTACCAAAGCAGCAGGATCAGTTTAGCAGCTGTAGGAGGGCTGCTGTTCTTTAGTCGCTCTGCCCCTGTCAACCAGCTAACAAGTTTCCACCAGCCTCTCCCATAAGCAGGAAGGTTTTGGCTTCTCCAGTCCTGATCAGTAGCTGGACTCCATGCCCTTTCCTGGGAAGTAAGGAGGAAAATGCTGCAGTGATGCAACCCAAGACCCTGATCCTCAAGTGGTGCAAATAGAAGTCAATGGAGCTAGGACAGTTAACACCTACTGAGGATATGGCCCTAAATCTCTAGCAGAACTAGCTGCTGCTCTGGCTTTGTTCCTGGTGTAACTGGCTGAGCTTCCCTAGCACCTACCTTCTGGCTTGAAGTGGAAGAGGGCTTGGCAGGAGAGACCAATATGATCACGAATTTAAAGGGGCACACCTGGAAAGGCCCAACGCAAGATTTTTACAATGTGGCGTTGGCACACAGGACCATCCAAATGTTAGGAGTGGATCTTGTGGGCGGGGTGTCTATTGTAGGGACTTTGGGATTTGAAGAGATTAGTCCCAAGCTTATTGTCAGATGTTTCCTGTGTGGTTTCAATAAGTGGCTGTCATTTCCTCTACACTGTTTTCAGCTTTCCACTGACCCATGAACTATGCAAACAATTGAAGTCACCGTGCCTTTTCTGCAATCAAGATTAAACTCGAACATAAGTTTGAGGGACAGAGGGCTCAGCGCTTGCCTAGGCCAGATCCCACCTTGCTTCTGCCCTGCTCCTGCCCTAAATGTTTCTGGGACAGTTTGGAATGTAATTTGGAACCTCCCATGATTCAGTGTGTTTCCTTTCTCTGGGCAGGTTCTTGGGTAGAGGGGAGTCAGGAACTGGCCAAATCATGGGAGTAGGATATTGGGAACCCCTCAGATGTTCTCACTGCATGAAAGAATAGCCCTGCCTCTCACTCTGCAATTTGTTCCACATTGCCGCCGGTCAGGAGATGCAGCACAGCAGGAGGAAGGGATAGTAGGATAACTCCATCCTAAAGGCATGTACAGAGGATGTATTGATGGGTTTAGAAACACTGGATTTTCTATGGGGGGAAGGAAAGGAGCAGGGCTGGCTTATTATTCTTTATGGTTCTTATTCTTTATGACTCTATTGTTATTAACAATAGAGTCATGAGCTCTCCTTCTCCTCCAAGGCAACACCTCTGGGGATTTGGCGGTCACCTCCCCATGGTGACTCCTTTTCCAATTCGCCCTGGTGTCTCTCCTCTCACTCTATCCTCCTCCTCCTTGAGTTAGCTCTGCTTTGCAGAGGGGCTCTTCTTGTAGGCCTTTCCTGCTCCTTCTGGGTGTCACAGGGTCCTTTCTCCTTCTGGGTAGCTTCTGAGTTTGTAACACATCCTCTCATTCTCCATAGGATTGCCTCCAGTGCAGCCTTTCCTTCTTTGGAAAAGGATGGCTGGG